TGTATGTACTGATATGGGCCAATCTCAACAAAAGTTGCAGAATAGTAAGCATAGTCTGATGCCATATCTATATATATAAAAGCCCAGCAACCAAACAGTGGAATGACCAGAATGACCGGCCGACCAGTCGCTATGACGTGCACTGATCACTAGGGGACAGATGCTCAATGCAGGAGCTGCCCCCTGGTGGTCAGTGTACTCCCACAGTGGGAGCAGCCGCTCAGGGGGCAGGTCCACAGCCACTCAGATGACAGAGATGAGCAACGCTTCCACAGCAGGCTGATCCCCACAGGCCATGCCCCCCCACCAGTGCACGAATCTGTGCACCAGGCCTCTAGTATTTGTATATATATACTTACATGTGCTGGACTTTAGGAAAGTTTACAGCTAACCACGCTGCCAACCTTTGGGAGAAAGAAGGGGTAGAAACAAGCTTTGGGTTTTCGCTACGTCCTTCTGCACTCTTCAGTTCTAGTGATGGGCATGTATTACCTTTTTTATCAGAAGGGTTTTTCTGGGCAATCAATTGACATGTGTTATGAGGCATTTTTTTTCTTTATACTAATTTATTTTTTAGTTTTCTTTGTTTTTCTTTTCAAATATATTTTTATTGATTTCAGAGAGGAAGGGAGAGGGAGAGAGAGATTGAAACATCAATGATGAGAGAGAATCACTGATCGGCCTCCTGCATGCCCCTCACTGGGGATCAAGCCCACAACCTGGGCATGTGCTCTGACTGAGAATGAAATGTGACCTCCTGGTTCATAGGCCGATGCTCAACCACTGAGCCACACCAGCTAGCATAGTTTGTTTTTTTAAAAATCCCAATATCTTTAAGTCAAGAAAAGGAGGATTTACTGGAAGGATGCTGATGTTCCTCATTTGAGCAGCCTGCAGGGGGAGACAAATGCAGATGGGCCTCTGGAATTTCTGGGGCCCGGGCCTGGGATACTAGAGGCCTTTTTTTTTTTTTTTTTTTTTTTTTTTTTTGGTCTCTGTGTACCGGCTGCATTCTCTCTCAGTCATATAAAGGATGGGGAATGAACATGGCTGCCTTGTGCATCTAAATTTATATCTTGCCCTGGCTGGTTGCTCAGTGATTAGGGCCTTGACGGGGGAATCAAAGGGTTATGGGTTCAATTCCTGGACACATACCTCGGTTGCTGGTTTGATCCCAGCCAGTTTGGCCTTGTGCAGGAGGCAACCAATTGATGTGTCTCTCTCACATCTCTCTCCATCTCTCTCTCTCTCTCTCTCTCTCTCTCTCTCTCTCACATCTCTCTCTCTTCCCTTCCCTCTTCCCCTCCTTCCCTTTCAATCTCTCTAAAAATAAATGGGAAAATAACCTTGGTGAGGATTAATAACAACAAAAATGTGAAATTTATCTCTTGCCCTCCTACAGCAAAGAGAGATTGACTTCCTACCGCGACTGACTTCCTGCTTAACAATATTCTCAGGGAAGGGCTTTCTGTGGCCAGGTGTTCTGGATCCATCAACTCTGGCCAGAGGTGAGGAGCCTCTAAGTCAGTGGTTCTCAACCTTGGTTGCACATTAGAATCACCTGGGAATCTTTTTAAAATCCTGATTTCTTGCCAAAACCAGTTTGGCTCAGTGGATAGAGCGTCGGCCTGCGGACTGAAAGGTCCCAGGTTCGATTCCGGTCAAGGGCATGTACCTGGGGTGCGGGCACATCCCCAGTAGGAGATGTGCAGGAGGCAGCTGATCGATGTTTCTCTCTCATCGATGTTTCTAACTCCCTATCTCTCTCCCTTCCTCTCTGTAAAAAATCAATAAAATATATTTTAAAAAAATTAAAAAAATAAAATCCTGATTTCTGGGCCTCATCCTCCGGAAATTGTTTCTTTGTTACTAATGTTGTGGCCCCACCCCATAACAAAGAAACAGAATTTCCGGAGGATGAGGCCCAGAAATCAGGATTTTAAGAAGATTCCCAGGTGATTCTAATGTGCAGCCAAGGTTGAGAACCACTGCTCTAAGTGCTTGGCAGAGCCTCGGGAGTCACATGGCTGGAGAAGAACAGTTCTCAGTAGATGGGAGGATGCTGGGAAGGTAAGGCGTTCGTTTGTATTTATTTATTTTTTTTAAGTCCTCACCCGAGGATATTTACCACTGATTTTTAGAGAGAGTAGAAGAGAGAGGGAAAGACAGAGAGAAACATCGATGCGAGAGAAACACACATCGATTGGTTGCCTCCTGCACGAGCCGGGGAGGGGCCTGCAACCGAGGTATATGCCCTTGACCAGAATCAAACCCGGAACCCTTCAGCCCGCAGGCCGATGCTCTATCTACTAAGCCAAACCGGCTAGGGAAGGCACTCATTTTTTTAATATTAAATTTATTGGGGTGATATTGGTTAATAAGGTTACACAGGTTTTAAGTTTACATTTCTATGATACATGGTCTGTATATTGCATTGTGTGCCCACCACGCAAGGTCAAATCATCTTCCATCACCATGGAAGGCACTCATTCTTTCACTCATTCAGTGAATTTTTATTGCATGCCTACTATGTGCTGGGCTCTGTGCTACTGAACACAGTCAACTAGCAAGGTCTCAGTGACCGGACAGCTTAGGTTCCAGTGAGGAAGACGGCCTAGGAATCAGTGTCTGCCGTCCCTGTCCTCGCTCAGCCAATCCGCTCTCCCACTTGACAAAAGGGTCTCTTTTTGTTGTGTCAGAGGGGGCCCCTCGGTCAGAGCAGCTTGGGGATATTTCCACGGTGAGGACACTGATGACTAAGAAAGAGACGCTTGGCCTGGCCAATGGGGACAGCTGCAGCTGTTGTGAGTTACCAGCCAAGAGCCAGTAGGTGAAGGGAGTGGCTTCCTGTTGAGCCGAGATCTTTGAGTCTAGCTTGGAAGTTAAGGCGTCCCAGAAACAAAATCGTCAGGGAGCCCACTAAGGATCTGTGGAATTTGTATTATAAAAATACAAAACCCAGGTCTGAGGCCGGTGCCTGACTCCGCCAACTTGAAAGTCTCAGTTCCTCAGACAATTGTGATCCTGAGCAAACAGCAAAAAGAAAGAAAAGAAAAGAAAAAAGATGGCTCAGCTCTGTGCCAGCACTAGTAGGATGGACTGCGGCCAGGAGCCAGAGCGGGGAGGAGGAAGGAATGAGGGGTGAGCAGCCCTCCTGGCGACTATATAAGGGAAGGTTTCTTTTTAAGAGATTTTATATATAATTGATTTCAGAGAGGAAGGAAAAGGGAGAGATATAAACATCAATGATGAGAGAGAATTGATTGGCTGCCTCCTGCATGCCCCCAACTGGGGATTGAGCCCGCAACCCAGGCATGTGCCCTTGACCAGAATCGAACCACAGCCCCTTCCGTCCACAGGCCAAGTGATCCACTGAGCCAAACCGGTGAGAGCTGTAGGGGAAGGTTTCTGATGTGCAGATTTTGCAAGAGATGTTGGTGGGATGCACTGGTCTGAGCAAGACCTTCACCCACAAGTTACAGTCCCAGCCAGGGGTCCTGCAGCGAGGTGCTCTGTGGCGAAAGTGATACATGCTGGGCTATGGCCCAAGCAGCAACACAGGGCTTGGGCAGCAAGGAATGAGGATTTCTACGCACTCTCCCTCCACCCCAAACTACTCTCCCACATGCAGACTGCTGGTCCAGATGTGGCTTTGCCTCACTATTGTATGTTTTTAAAAATACATATAGTTTTATTGATTTCAGAGAGGAAGGGAGAAGATAGAAATGCCAATGATGAGAGTCATTGATCAGCTGCCTCCTGCATGCCCCACACTGGGGACCTAGCCTGCATCCGGGTATGTGCCCTGACCTGGAAGCTAACCATGACCTCCTGGTTCATAGGTCGACACTCAACCACTGAGCCACACCGGCCAAACGGCTCCTGTTTTTTTACCCTTTTGACAGTTCTGGTGACACTGCTTATAAGCCTTCCTCTGCTCCTTGAGGCCATGTCTTGCTCATCTTTATAACAATAGCATCTGGCCCTGTTCAGGGAGTGTTGCAGGTGCCACTAATGTTTGGATAAATATCTGTTTATCACAACTATTTGCCCAGTCCCTAATCTAGAGGCTCTGGAATAAGCAGCATCACAGATTTTAGAATCAGCCTATGTATCACATGCAAAAAGGTGAGATGGGCCGAGAAGATTGGGGGTCTGAAGTGGAAAACGTGGGATGATAAGGCAGTTAGCAGAGGAAGCAAAGCAGCTTCAAAGATGTGTGGGAAATGGATAAACTGTGTGGCCCCTCTGATCTTTAGTGTCCGTGCTTGTAACATGGGGACCTCACATGTAGAGGAAGGAGACCCCAAAAATGGCCATGAAAGTATTTTGTGAAGTGTAACATGAACACGGGTAAAATGATTAATAAAGCTTATTGAAAAGTCTCATGCATTATTGCCAATCTATTTCTGTGATCTTACACCTGATCTTAAGGTCCTCTTTTATACATTCAGCACAATGGTAACTGCGTTGCTGGATTGGCTTGAGGAGGCAATGTGTAAGGCATAAAAAGTGCTTCTTAGTCCAGTACCTCCCACCCATGAAGAAATATATGGATAGCTTCTTTTAAAAAGTGTTTTTATTGATTTTAGGGATCATTGCTGTTTCACCAGTCATGAGAGGATCAGCTCTGTTACTAGGAAGCTAGCTGATTTGAGAGAGAGAGAGAGAGAGAGAGAGAGAGAGAGAAGTGGATTGGCTGCCTCCCATATGCACCCCACTGGGATGAAACCTGAAACCTGGGGACGCGCCCTGACCGGAATTGAACCTGTGACCTTTCAGTGCATGGGAGATGCTCAACTGAGCCACACAGGCCAGAGCTGGATAGCTTCTTAAAAAAACAGACTCCTGGCATCCCATCTCTGCCATCTTCCTAAATTGGGATTCTTTGGGGATGAAGACTAAACATCTGAATTTTAAATAAGCATCCTCGGTGATTGATTAGGGTGGTCCAGGGAGACTTTAAGAAACACTGAAAGGATCAATTAAGTGTGTGTGTGTGTGTGTGTGTGTGTGTTAGGGGTGGGGAAGACAGTACTATCATATGTGGCCATGAGATGGCAGCAGAGAGAGGCAAGGAGAGGGGCTGGGAGTGGGCAGGCTTGGGGATGGGTTGTGGGAGGAGCTGGGCCCTATATTTCAGCACGGTCATCTTTGCCAGCTGAAGTCTATTGCTGCAGACTACTCCCCTGTGACTGCCTGTCTGATTACCAGGTCTTTACAGACGCTCTGCTTTTGCCAAACTCTGCCAGCAGAAACCGCACCAGTGTGACCTTGGCTGGCTGAGTGGGTAGTAATGTGTGTTCCACATGGTGAGTATGGGAGGCAAGGGATGTCACCTGCACAAGGCAGCTTAGTGAAAGGGCATCAGTGCATGTTGAAAGCAGGGTTTCCCCATCCCCCTGCTGCCAGGCTTGTGGTTCCAGGTGCTCTGAAAGGGTTACCTGAACCCAGCCTGCTCCAGTCAGGAGAGGATGAGCTCTGTTGCTGGGAAGCTGGCTGAAGGCCAAGCAAAGGATGCTGGGATGGGGTGGTGGCAGGGAACATGGGACGAGGCAGCTGTCTCTGGGAGCAGACAAGATGTCCCTGGCTTCAGTAGGGGTGGGGCGGTAAGAGGATTAGGTGACAGTCCCCTAACTCAGCCCGGAACTAACACCTCCCCCCTCACTCATGAGCCATGGCCTGCCCCGCTCCGAGCCTGCCAACGTTCAGAATAACCCTGAGGACCAGACAGCAGGATGGCAGGGGCTCTGCTCAGCGCCCTATTCCTCTTGCAGCTTCTTGGTATGGACAGGGGTCGGGGGAGGTGGTTGGACAGACAGACAGACACACACACACACACACACACACACACACGGAGATAAGAACATAAACAAGAGAGAGACCACGATGTAGACTGGGTTGCAATATTGGGTCCCCAGGCACAACACTGGTTCAGAAGACACTCATGGAAAAGTACATCGTCTCAGAGGCAGACACACAGGGAAGCAGAGCCCCGCACAGACTCAGAGGGGGCAGAGGGGAGAGGCCCCCTAGCCTCTTCATCTCAGTGACTCTACTGCTCGTCACCATCCCCAGGCCGAGGTGCGGGGAATGAGGAGTTGCGCCTTTATCACCATCTTTTCGACAATTATGACCCACAATGCAGGCCAGTGAGGGAGCCTGAGGACACTGTCAGCATCAACATCAAGGTCACCCTGACCAACCTCATCTCGCTGGTAAGATACCCCACCTCCACTCCCAGCACCATCTCTGAGCTTGAAATCCCCCTTCTGGTCCCAACCACTGAGCGCTGTCCCCTGGAACCCCTCCTCATCTCCCCTGCGCAGAACGAGAAAGAGGAGACCCTCACCACCAGCGTCTGGATTGGAATCGTGAGTCCAATCTGGGGGACAGTGCGCGGTCTCGTCCTGGGCACCCCTTCCTCCCAGCCTCTTCGCGGGCACCAGGGGGGAGACGCAGGGCACACGTCCTCCCGTCATCGCCCCTTAGGACTGGGACGATTACCGACTCAACTTCAGCAAGAAGGACTTTGGGGACATCGGAATCCTGCGGGTCCCGTCCACACACGTATGGCTACCAGAGATTGTGCTGGAAAACAAGTACGGACCGGAGGGGAACCAGGCTGTTGGAAGCCGAGGCCTGAGGGGCTGGGTTGGACCTGGCCGGGGCGGGAGGCTGCTTGGAGGGCGAGGGGTGGCGGACCTCCGCGAACGCCGGGTTTCCGGGGCCCACAGCATCGACGGCCAGTTCGGGGTGGCTTACGACTGCAACGTGCTGGTCTACGAGGGCGGCCACGTGAGCTGGCTGCCCCCCGCCATCTACCGCAGCGTCTGCGCCGTGGAAGTCTCCTACTTCCCCTTCGACTGGCAGAACTGCTCGCTCGTCTTCCGGTGGGCAGAGTTCCTCCGGGCCCGACCATTACGGGATTAGGGGAGCAGGGAGTGACGTCATATGGGGGGGGAAAAACACTAACCGGGGGGCGGGGCTTTGTGCTGGAGGCGGAGCCAGACTCTGAAAAGGGTTGGGGCTGCTCCAGCGAATTTGAAGTCGGGGAGAAAACAGCATGTTTTGGGTAATGGGGTGGGGCGTTCTCACCCCGCCAGAGCCCAGCTTCCAGGACAGGGCCTGAGGCTAGGGCCTGGGTCCGAGTTGCTGGGGTGGGGGCCCCCTGCCTCCACAGCTCTCAGACGTACAATGCCCAAGAGGTGGAGTTCGTCTTCGTGGTGGGCGATGACGGCGAAACCATCAGCAAGATCGATATCGACACTGAGGCCTACACCGGTGAGGTCCCCTCCTGCTCCTAAAACCCGCTTCCAGACGGGTCCAGAGAAGGGACTTGCAAAGTGGGGCTGCCCCAGACCTTCAAGCCTAGGGACCGACTTTGGCAACCGCGCTTTAATTTGCCCCTTTCCTGAAATTATTCTCGATGGTCGGACCAGTCCTACCTCCTCGCGGTCCTTCCGTACCTCACCCGGAATACCCGCTTCGGCCCTGCCCGAATTGCCCGTCTGCCGAAGGCCCAAGGCCCGAGCCATCCAGCCCACCCGCCCCACCCTCCCCGGTGCAGACCGCTGCAGGCGCTCTCTCCTCCGCCCGGAGTTATGGGCTCCCGCCCTCAGGTGTGGGGCCTCAGAGCAGGCTGAGCGCGTCCCCCGTCCTGCAGAGAACGGCGAGTGGGCCATCGACTTCTGCCCCGGGGAGATCCACCGCCAGGACGGAGGCTCCGCTGACGGCGCAGGGGGCATTGACATCGTGTACACGCTCATCATTCGCCGGAAGCCGCTCTTCTACATCATTAACATCATTGTGCCCTGCGTGCTCATCTCAGGCCTGGTGCTGCTCGCCTACTTCCTGCCGGCGCAGGGTAAGGAGTCGCCCCAACCCGCAAGTGGGGCTCGTTCCGGAGTCTGTGTGTGTGTGTGTGGAGGGGGGGCAGCAGCTCTCACTGGGCGCTCCCTCCAGCCGGCGGCCAGAAATGCACCGTCTCCATCAACGTCCTGCTCGCCCAGACCGTCTTCTTGTTCCTGATTGCCCAGAAAATCCCCGAGACGTCTCTGAGCGTGCCGCTGCTGGGCAGGTGAGGGCGCTGCTGGGCAGGTGAGGGCCGCTGCTGGGCAGGTGAGGGCGCTGCTGGGCAGGTGAGGGCCGCTGCTGGGCAGGTGAGGGCGCTGCAGAAGAGGGTGAGGGCGCCGGGGCCCCGACGGTGCCCGTCCACTCTAATTGTCTAGCACGAAGGGCGGAGCCAGGCCGGCACG